AATGATAAGCATTTAATACACATGTCTAATGATTTTGACACAAACATTGTAACAAATATCATATTAATAGTAAATATCGATTTTGTAACAAATTATTTGAGTTTATGTAATGAGTGTGAGAAGAAAATAATGAATTCTGTTTTAAGCCATAATTATATAATTATTGGACAAATGCTTGAAGGAAGAGATGAATGAATTGTAGACAATAACAAATTCAAATGCATTTAATTCATAGTCCATCGCATGTGATCTTGTTGTGGGTATCCGTGGATTCCGTTCACAATACTATTCAGTATTTGCGGGGCTATTATCGGAGGCTGTGATTGACCGGAGGACTGTTGGCCATCGGGCTGGAGGTGTCCGGAAATGTGTCTCAATTGGTTGGAGTTAGTGTTACCGCAGTTTCTCTCATCACTATATCATTAAATGCATTATTTGTTTTACAGGTAATAATTATAAGTCAATAAATGGTATAAATTAAGTGATACATACGATTGATCCTTGCAATCAGAGGCGCCGTCACATCTCCATATACTTGGTATACAGATCTGATGTGAAATAAAACAACAAAATTAATGCCAATAAGAAAAATAATCGATAAATTTATAAATATTTATTAAATTAAAAAACGGCTATAAATAAAAATTAATGGCTTAATAGTAATAGCAATACTGACCCCATTGTCGCATTTGAAATCACCCCGGGAACAATCTAAATTAAATGTGATGCAAAAAAATTCATTACCATATTATTAATATCCTTTATCTAAATACTAGCCGTAAGTATACTGTACACTGTATATAACACTAACCCTTTTGAGCGCATCCGACTTCATCCCTATTTTTGTATAAATTAATCGTTAGATTTTCAAATATCTTAAACAACAAATAAAATGCTTTTGTTTTGCAAAAACTTACGATCCGTCACGACATTCCTCTTTTCCATCGCAAACCTAATGTGATATAAAAAGCGCGATAAGAATATGTGATACAAATCTGACAACTTTTTTGTTTGATAACAGAATATGAGTAAATCATCTTTTTATGTAAAGTATATGTTATTTGCAAACAAAAAGTTTCATCATATAAACCAAACACTACGTACCCATCGGCGAGGTATGCAACCAAAGCCATCGCCACACTTGAACCTATCGGGTCCACAAGAGGGTCGGGACGTACAGTTGGCCTCATCGCTGTTGTCCTGACAGTCTCTGTCGCCGTCACCTTATTGTGCAAACAAATAAACATTACATACCGGTAGTAAACATTCAATACACACAATTGTGAGCAAACAAATAAACTAATCAAACAAAAGCAAATCATATTTACATTTCCAGGTGAGGGGCACACACTTGCGATCGCATTCAAACTCTTCACTCGAACACGCTGTCAGACAATATCATTTACATATATCAAATGTTTTACACAAATCTCAGTACAAGTATTATACCTTCTGAATGTCCATTATTACAGTTGGCCTCATCCGCAGCAAAGATACAATCACTTTAATTCAATTTAAAATTAATTAACAATTCATTAAACATATTATTTTCATTGCATACCGAACTCCATCGCAAACCTAATAATAGAAATAAAATAACATTTAAATAAATCGAAATATTTTATGAAATATCAATAAATAAATGGACAAAAACTTACCCATCGTTTAGAAATGCATGTCATGTCTGGACAGTGAAACTCGTCGCTGGCACAGGACGTGCCTAACGCCAGATTCACGCAAACGGTTGGGTCCGTAGAGTCGGGATATTGGCGACAGTCAAACACCGACGACAACTCAAGTGTCGCCGGAATATATTCAGCGCATCCCTCGAGAGCGACGCGACAGAACTTCTTGCAGGGAGGGATGGGTCGGCCGTTATGACAGGGAGGCTCCAGGAATGAGCACAACAATTGTTTCAAACGCCTATTACAGCCCGACTTTCCAATCAGATTGAAGAACGGTATCGATTGATTCACCTCTTCCTCCGACTGATCGCCGATAATATTGGGATAAACGGTTGAATTGAAGGGCAGGTGCTGTTGACACATTCGGAGTCGCCTTTTGCGGCATTCGTTGCGCTGGGACTTACTCTCGGCGTCGTCTGTCGTGTCGTATCGTTTGAACAAATCTCTATAGACTTTCATCGGATCCATTGAGCCCTCGATTTGTGTGGAACCGGACGACAGAAGCGCCGACCGCTTTCTCCTGCTCTTCAGTCTCTCATTCCAGTCTTTAAAACTTTTTCCCTTCAAAAACGATTCAATGGTTTGCATTGTGTCCGACGTCTTCGGCCCCGACTTCCCGTTGGACACGACATACGCGCCAATAGACTCGATGACCAACAAAAAGTTGACAAAACAAACGAAAGCAAACATTAATTTTGCCATTTTTTGGTCGTAAAAAGTTTTTGGTCACAGATTTTTCTACAAAACGGTTTTCTCCAAAAGGTTTTTCGCGAAATGAAAGTAACTGTAAATACGAAATGAGAGGAAAAAACTTTTTTTCTGGTAGTGTTTGGCGTTTGGAATGCAGTCTTGAGTTATCGGTTGAGGGAAACAGTTGTCAACAGAATATACACTCTTCTGAGTGAAGAGATTGAAGAGAAATTCACTCCACATTCATGTCTGACTGGTTTGAATGGTTTGTATGACAGCTTTAATCGATTGTATTGACTCGGCGTTTGATTTTAATCGTCTCCGAAAAACCAACTTTAAGTATTTGTACAAAACGTGTTCTCTCTCTCTCTCTCTCTCTCTCTCTCTCTCTCGCAATGAGTCTCTATCTCAATGACCTGACCTGCGCTAACCCACTGTTGCACAAGTCATACAACTAACTGTCGGTTCATATTTTGGAGGCCGTGTTGTGTGCAGTGTATGTGCTATGAGTGCAGTGTTAGGGATCGGGTGAATGGGGTGTCATATAAGTTGGTCGACACCGCGGTGTCGGTCATCGGCCACACAACCAGTCAACAACACCTAACAGTTGCCAGCGATCGCACTCCTCTCCCGTGTCTATNGTATTCATTAATGAAATTCATGATCGGGTGTATAAACTTCTTCATTGACTCGTCTTTAACGATAATATCGTTGATTGTATTGAAATAAATGAGATTAAAAAAATAGGGTTGTATTAAATGACAACAACGGCGGTAGTGGTGGACAAGGAGTTGATCGGATGGCACGTTCAGTATGGGATCGGCGGTGTGTTTGCGGTGAAAGAGTTTCCACACGTTGTGAATACCCATTTGGGACACGAGTTTTGGTTTCATGACCACCACTTTGGACCGTATTTCGTGCGGCCATACAGTCTTCTGGCGGTTGAAGTTGGAGGTGAGCAACGGGTCGGAAGAGTGGCCACCACTGCGGCCGTCATCGTCGGCGAGCAGACGGCTGTATTCGGTGCAGAATATAACGGTGGGCACAACCAGAGCCGACCAACCAGTGATGTCGGGCGACGAGACAAACTCGCGGATCGTCTGGGACTTCGACGGCCGTAAGTACTCATCAAAGTCGACGTGTATTTGTATGCGATCGGCGTAGCGGTGCAGACAGTCGTGAACGGCAGTCAACTGTCCCCTCGCGTGCACTATCTCGCGGTCATCCGAGTTGTTGGGAATGACAAACGGCAAGACATCAACGAATGACATCGCGGACAACGTTTCCATTAGTGGCCGCATGTCGTCCGGAGTGAGCGAATCGCTAAACGAGTTGTAAAACACGATTTTGTCCACAGAATTGAGCCGATAGTAGGCTATGAACTCAAGCAAATGTATGGCCGATATGTTTCCGTATAGCGGACGCACGCATACCACTAGTTCCCGATCGGCGGCCCTATCGTCGACCGTCTCACTGGTATTGGCAGTGCTTTTAGTGATGGAAACCAATTGAGATTCAATGGCTTTGGCGATGGCTTTGCTCTTCGTTTCCCTTTCAATGAGTTTAACGCCATTTATGGACAACTTTTGTTCAAAGAGTTTCGGTTTTTTGCACTTCACTTTGACGGCAGAGTACGAGTAGTGGTGGCCTTCCGGCAGATACTCGACCACCGCTCGAGTGGTCAGCGCTATGTTGTCATTGAATCCACACAAGTATTGATAATCGTTTAATGGGATGCTATTATTGTATGGATTTCCGTAGCCGTCGATCGGATCAAACAACTTCTTCGCCAAACCGATTAACACGAGGTAATGGTTGTCGACCTCGAAGGCCGAGTAAATAAAGATATTGTCCGATATATTGACAAAACTGGAGTCCGGATGCCTTCGGCGGTCGCCAACTAAGAGCTGATCCGACTTCTGGCGGGACGACCGGCGTATGGATTGGTAGCGGATCCTGTAGTGGTGGTCGTCATCGCCATCGGCGGTCAATGTGTGGCATATATTGCGAGCGATTATCTTATTGTCATAATTGGTGGTAAAGAGGAGTGCATTGAAGACAAAGAGTGACAACAAAATGAGCAAAAATAGTGACAATAAAAGCAATTGATAGCAAACTATTGGCCGCATATCACAGGCATTGCGTTCGTTGACTACAATACGCGCACTCACTGTATGTCTGCATAACTATTGCATTACTAGTCGTACCGCTTATTGGCGTCTAAATCGACTCAATCGGCGATTCATTCAATCACACAATCAATGCATTGTTTGTTTTGAATGCGATTTCATTCACGCATTCAATGCATGGCATTCGCAATACGGCTGTCAAAACATTGAGACTGTATGTCACACATGCCTACGGGCGCCACCTTTGGGCCCACCCGTGAGTTCCCAACGCTGGCAAAAAGTTTGATAAAGTTTGATATGGTTTTGGTGTGAATGTGAGTGCACTGTAAATGAGGGGATCATACTGTAAGGTATGGGTGGGTATACCCTATGGGTTCACACGAGTTCATAGACACGGGAGAGGAGTGCGATCGCTGGCAACTGTTAGGTGTTGTTGACTGGTTGTGTGGCCGATGACCGACACCGCGGTGTCGACCAACTTATATGACACCCCATTCACCCGATCCCTAACACTACGGTTGAAAAAATTCCCGGAATATAATAAATATTCCCAATTGGGAATATTCCCAGTGGGAATATTCCCGGAACGTTCCCACCCAAAAAGCTCACTCACCAGATGGCGCCAGTAGTAAAGTGT